CCTTAGAGGGCCCCGTGCTCCTCGAATATGCAGCGACGTGCAACGATCCCAGCGGCTTTGAGGTCCGCAAACATGTGGGTGAGGCACATGAAAAGACGCGACATCCGGACGATTGCGAGGTGGCGCAAACGGGCAGCCTCAGGGGGTGGAATGGGGCGCGGCAGCTTCCCCCGACCCGAATTTCGGTCGCCTTCGAGTCACAGAGCGTCGGGAATCGTTCGTCATGAGGGCGATCAGATGCCCTCGCGGCAGCCCTTCGGCTCGAGCCGATTTGATCGAGATCACCTCACCGGCTCCGGGAGGCGCGCGGCGCCGCGGGTGACACGGCGCTCACTGCGCAATGCATGCGGCGTTCGGGCCGCGGCAACCTTGACAGGCCACTCGGGAGGGACATTCCAGGCGGTGTTTACTCGAGATGCCGCGGCCCGCTCGAGCCCTGGAACTAAGTTGGGCCTCTCGTCGGTCGCCCCCCACCATTAACGGCCGTTCTCGTCATCCACGGGCTGCCCCGACGCGAACTAAGTTGCTCGCCTTCGACCGATGGTCTTTCCCGAGCGACTCGCACCCGGGCCCGAGGCGCGGCAAGGTCCACAGACCGAGCGCCGCGCCAAGTCCTGGAACCGCTGCATCGGCTAGCGAAAGACTCGTTTTTGCCCAGATCTGACAAAACGAGCAAAGCCTGGGGGGGCTGATCTCAGATCAAGCCTAATCGAAAACATGTCCGCGCTCGTAATGGAGGAGCGATCCTTCTTCTGGCTGGCGCTCAACTTCACTTCACCGCACCAAAATTGACTTCGTTGTTGCCCGCCTCGCGCGACCTCGAAGCCGACGACCGCCGATTGTATTGAGACACACAAGCGCAGCTCCATACGCGGCCGTGCAATCCCGAGTCCTTGCAAAACCGCGCGCATCGTCTTCGCCACCTCATCCTGCGCCGACGGGCAACTCGACGCGCGTCGAAACTCCCCAGAGGCAGCGAGAGAGCGTTTGGAGAAGCGAGTGCACTCCACACGCGCTGAGAACCGCAGTTCAGCCGCGCGCGTGCACTTCGCATCTCGAGCGCACCGACTCTTAGGTCCAACACCACCGCAAACCGCCACATCATGCCTCGCAAGCCCTTCGTGCCGCCGCCGCCGCGCGAGAAGCGCCGCCGCGCCTCTAAAGACGCCGCGCCGTCATATATCAGCGACGGCATGCCAGACAGCCCGCCCAAGAAGAAGGGCCGCGCCTGGGGCAACGCGGCGAAAAACACCACGTCGGCTTATCGCGGCGTCACCGGAAAACCCGGTTATTACGGCGTCCTTTCGACCGGAAAGCATCGTCTCGACTCGAAAAAAACATTTACCGTCGCAATCAGGCAAGTGGGAGGCGCACATCAAGATGCCGAACAAGAAGACGGAGTACCTCGGCACCTTCGAGACCGAGGTCGACGCGGCGCGCGCCTTCGACGCGAAATGCAGGGCGGTGCGCGAGCACCCGCGCCTCAACTTTCCCGACGAGAACGCGCCCGCGCCGAAGCGCGTCGAGCACGCGCCGACGTCCTCCCGCTTCCGCGGCGTGACCAAGCGCCCGGGCGGCAAGTTCAAGGCGCAGATCGGCCACGCGGGCATCGGCATCTTCCCGCGTCCTTCGCTCGGCAGATCTACGTTTCGAGGCGAAATCAAGGTTTCGACACGAAATCAACGTTTACGTACTTAGGCAACTTCGGCCAGCAGTTCCTGGGCAACTTCGAGGACGAGATCTCCGCCGCGCGGGCCTACGACGCGCGCGCGCGCGAGCTCGGCAAGCACGCCTGGTGCAACTTCCCTGGCGACGAGGGCCCGCCGCCGCAGCGCAACCTGCCGTCCAAGTCGAGCCAATACCGGGGCGTCCGCACCCACGGCGGCAAGTGGCTCGCGCAGATCAAGCACACGCAGAAGTACAACGGCGGCCGCACGGAGTACCTCGGCGTCTTCGAGGACGAGCGCGAGGCCGCCGAGGCCTACGACTCCGCGTGCCGCGCCATCGGCCGCCACGCGTGCGTCAGCTTCCCGCTGGAGCACGACGCGACGGGCGAGGTCCACGCCGCCAAGGCGCTCCTCGGCCTCCTCGCGTAGCGCGCCGGAGGCGCGAAAGCCGAAGTAGCGTCTCCCCCCGCCGCGGCGGCCGCCGCGCGCGCCGAGAGGCCGCGCGGCGCGAGCTGCCCATCCCCCCGACCGGCCCTCTAGGAACAGAGGGGGCCGCGGACGTGAAATCATAAGTGAGTGTGGTATTGGATCGGCTGCCGACGCCGACGGATCGCCGGGATCGCTCCGGTTCGCTCCGGATCGTGACCGAGCGCGCGGGATCGCTCCGGATCCCCGCGGGTCGCGCCGGGATCGCGCCGGGTCGCTCCGGATCGCTGCCGGTGGCGCCGGAGGCGTCGAAGCCTCGCGAGGAGGTGCGAGGCCGGCCAGGAGCCGGCTCGAGCTCAAAGCCAAAGACCTTGACGATCGCACCACTGGGCGATCACAGACCTCTCACACCCAAAAACCATGCCTCCTCCCGCCGCGAGCTGGTTCCGAGGCATCGGTGCCGACCTCAAACGGCGCGCGCCGGCGTCCACGCGTCGCAGAGAGGTCCCGTCGATCGAACCAATCGCCGCACCAACAATCGATCGCCCGATCGCCACCCTTAACAAAAAATAGGCGCGCCCCGCACTACGTCTCGGACTGGACGGAGGGCCACAACGCGAAGACGACGGCGTCGATCTTCTTCATGTTCTTCACGTCCATCGCGCCCGCGATCACGTTCGCGGAGCTCCTCGACCGGTCGACGGGCAAAATCGGCGTCGTCGAGGTCTGCCTGAGCAGCTGCCTGTCGGGCTGCATCTTCTCCATCTTCGGCGGCCAGCCCCTCGTCATCGTCGGCGTCACGGGCCCCGTGACCATCCTGACCATCTCCATCTACGGCATGGCCAACGCGCTCGACATCGACTTCCTCAAATTTTATATGTGGGCGCAGATCTGGGCCGGGCTCATGCACATGGCCGCGGCCGCCGCGGGCTGGTGCGCGGCCATCAAGTACGTGACGAACTTCTCCTGCCACACCTTCGGTTTGCTCATCGCGACGATCTACGCGGTGACGGGCGCCACCGGCATCGCGCGCTACTACACGCGGTCGCAGTCCTTCGCGGCCTGCCTCATGGAGAC